CGCATATTTTAGATATTACCAGATATGAAAAATAATAGTAGAATATAGTCTCAGCAATAATCTCAATCGTAATTAAACGTAGTTCGAGTGAAAGTCTGCACGACAATGCTATCTCAGTACAATCATCTAAGCATGCTTTTTCTTCGTATATGTGCATGTTACTGTCACAAATTAAAAGTAATTATTCGACGGTATGAAGACCAAGATGTGTTTATTTCACTCGATCCCTGCCACCCCACTCCACCCCACTTGAGGCGTTATTACCCCTCCTCTGCGTCTGGGTAATTAATTCGAGGCTAAAGCCCCTAGGTAATTCTCATGGTCAAGCCTTTGCTTCATGGACCACGTTTATGGTAAAATAGGCATATTGTCGAGGGAAATACTTGATCCAGTGAAATGGCAGAAGGATCCTACGAAGAATGAGGGAGACTCTGATAAGACTAAGGGAAGGAGGACTGCGTAACAATATAGCAGACTCTGATCCAAATTCCAAACACAAGGGTGAGGGAGGGTGATGGGGTGGGAAAGCCAGTGTGGAGTGTGGAGAGTTCTGATAACATCCGCTCAAAAGGGCATACTATATCACATTTGAATAAGCAAGTAAAAAAGTGTGATAGTGAAAGCGTGATACGAGGATATAAGATTGGTGATTAGCCCAGAGGGGAAGAAGAGATACTATGATCGTTTAGCAGACAATTAATCAAAGGATCGGTTTCACTTGTCTCCTTAACGAGTTGTAGTGTGGTGCTAATAATGGCAATGCTCACTGACAATGCTAACTATGATGCCGGCGAAGCGTCTGGAAATGTACCACGTCCAAGATCCGACTCGGGAAATGTTCATACATACAATGGACTCCGGACTAGGTGCCTTCCTCTAGGTCTTTCTGCCAATATGACCAAGTATCGAAGACAAAGTCAAAAAAATTCTATACAACGGAGGGATACTGCAACCACACAAAAGGCCACATCATCTTGGTCTTCATACCTTCAATTAAAAGTGATTAAGTTTTAATTTCTTGATAACTAGACTTACTTTCTCGAAGTGCTTGCATGCATGCATATATATATATATATTCTCTGTGCTTTCTTCTTTTGTTTGTTAGTTTTCTCTGCAAAATTACTCATCCAATTATATTTCCCAGATGATCTGTTCTAAGATCGGATAACAGGTCAGCATCCAATTTTGTTTTTTTAATTATACAAATGCTTAAATGGCATTTTTGAAATGACTTACAGAGTACCCTATGAACATATTGACTTATTTCATAATAAAATTATGAAATGGTTGTAGCCAAAGCTATATCAGAACGATGCTTATTGCAGACTATGATGGCCATAAAATGCCTGATAGTTACTCTGCTCAAGATGTGCTTGAAAAAGGGCTTTTTTTTACCGTCGAATTTCGCAGTACTCCGTTTTTCATAGTGTGTCTCCCTAATTATTGCAGATGCAATGTGATTTATATGTCACACCACTAAAGTCCACCACAGCAGCACACAACCTTGTAGCAGCCGGATCTTGATAATGCGCCATATTTCTCTCCAAAAGATAGCATGGCCTAAGAAACTGTGATGATTTCTTTGAAAACTATTTTAGGCGTCATACCTTCTCTTAAAACAGATAGGCGAAGGAAGTGGTGGATAAAAACAGTGTTCAAAGAAACCCTCACACTTTCTTCTGTTATTCCATCATTTAGAGAGAAATATGACGCAATATCGAGAACAGGTAGCTACAAGATTGTGAGTTGCTCTGGTCTACCTTATGTTGGTGCAACATACCGGCCTATTCGCCAAAGATTATTAAAGCAGAAAAATGTTTGAAGAGGCAGCTGGGTCCAATGGTCAGAATTGGCCAAACGCATAGCAGAGAACGGACATGAGATAGAATTATCTCAAGCGAATAGGTTTGCTGATTATGGTACATCTGCTGTTATAAGGAAGA